TCTATCAAGTAGAAGATGATAGTGAAGATGAAATGGCATAGCCAAAAATCCTGAGTCTGTGAGTGTGACAGATAAGGTGTCAAACAAGTAAATATGATCAAGAGATAACTCATCATGTATTTTTTAACCAAGACTCTGCTACCTTTCTTTACCAAAGTATTTGGTTTTGTTTGATTGATTGATTTTAAGAGGAAACTGTGGCAAAAGCAGGAAGAAGAACAATGTAGATTATTTTTTGATGATCAGATAATCGAACATGAAGACATGAAATAAGTTTGTTTCCTTTGATATATTAATTTCTTTGCAAATTGAAATTTTAAAAAGTAAAACTATTTAATACCAGTAACAGATGAATTTTTGGAATCCTTAGTAATTAGCTATTAAATTTTTAATGAAGCACAAGTACCTTTATGTACTTTTTGGAATGATCTTAAACTTATAAAAGAATTGTGAGCATAGTGGAAAGTACTTTTTTCTTTTTTTCTGAATCATTTAAGAATCGGTTGCTGACATGATGCCCTATCACCTCTGAATACTGTAATATTTCCAACAAACAAAGATATTGTCTTACATAAATCACTATATAACTAGTGAAATAAAAACAATTAACATCAATACATTTTTTCCATCTCATCCTTAGATCCCATTCAGGTTTTGCAAATCGTCCTAGTAACATCCTTTGTAGCAAAAGGATCCAGTTTAGAATTACATGTCCATTTAGTTGTCATGTCTCTTTAGTTTCCTTCAATCTGAAATAGTTTCTTGGGCTTTCCTGGACTTTCATGATTTTTATACTATGATTATAAACCAGTTGTTTTGTAGGATATCTCTCTTTTTGTGTTTGTATACTTCTTCATAATTATATTCAAATTATGCACCTTTTGCAGGAAAATCATAGAAATGATGTTGTATCCTTATTTTGTCCTATCAGGTAGCATATAATTTTGATTTGTTTCATCACTGCTGATATTTACTTTGATCACTTGATTTAGGTGGTGTCTGTCAAACTTCTTCACTTTAAAGTTACCTCTTTTCTCCTTTTGTAATTAGTAAGTATTTTGTGGCATTTTACTTTAAAACTATTAATATCTCATTTCTCATTAAACTTTCAGTTTATTCATTACTGGTTTATATCAATGTGAGTTTCTATATTTTTAGTAGTTTAAAATCTATTACTATTATTCCTTATTTATATGTTCATAGTGTCTTATATTTGTCCAGTGGGAGCCCCTTCAAGCTGGCTTCTCTTTCCTTTTGATGTGTCCCCATAATTCATTGAATACTTCCCTACCTTTACCAAAACAATACATTCCAGGTTCATCTTGTACTTTTTCTGTCCCAGCCCTCATACTACCTGTTTCTCCAAGAAGCTCTGATTATTTTTGGTGGAGAATAGTATTTAGAAACCAAAATCTGGCTACTGGTTGTGTTGATTTTGCATGAGCATGCTTTTGAGGTGTTGCTGCTCCTAGGATCTTTCAGAGGACAGAGCTAGAGAATATATATTTGTATACATGCACACATACATTTTACATTGATGTCCAAATTTTTCTGTCTATACATGCTGACTGTCAGGAGTTCATACCAGTATCTCCAATTGCAATGCAGTACCATAGAGTTTCTTCTTCTTTTATCTCTTTCTATGTTTGTAATGCCCTTGTTTGACAGTAAGAAACCTGATTTCCTTTAATCTTAATATATTTACTTATTTGATCGATCTCCCTTTGTATAACCAATTTTCCATTGTCACTACTTCCTTCTTTCTGACATATTAAACCCTAATTACCCAACTGGGACTCCCACATCTTGCCTTCTACATGGTTGCTCTAGACACCCAAAGCTGTCCTCTGGCTCACTTGTGGACGCCCTCCTCACTCTATTTGGGTTCTTACTTCCCACATTGGACAGCCCTGCTATCTCCCTCTCCTGCTAGGATTTTGATACCCTGCCTAAAGCTGCGCTTTTCTCCTGCTCCTCTGGCCCCTGTGGATGTCTTCCTTATCCCATATGAATTCCAACACCCCATGCTGGGCTGCCCATCTGTGGAAATGTCCTCTTCACCCTGCTTAGTCTCTGACTTTCCCACACTAAGCAGCCCTTGTACACAGATGCCCTCCTTATCCTGTTCAGGCTCCATGGTCTCACGTGAATGTCCTTCTCAACCTTCTTGGATTAGAACTCCCTGTGCTGGGCTCCCCCACTCCTTCCAGATGGGCACATTTTTCGTACCTGTAGAGTAACCTTTGATACCCAGCCTTAGGCAGTCCTTCCATGTGGATATCCTCCTTATTACTTAGGTCTTGATACTCTCTGTTGTATGCCTCCTGTATAGACACCCTCCTTACCCTGCTCTGGCTCTGACATCCTATCCTGGACTATCCCTGCTCCCTCCTGCATGTACTCTCCTCATTCTGCTCAGGCTTTACTCCCTGGGCTGGGCAATCCACCCATAAGCAGATTCTTACTCTGCCTGGGTTCTAGCCTCCTGCACTGGACTCTCCTCCTGTATATCAGTCTTCCTTCTTGTGTGGATGTTCTCCTCATCCCACTTCCTTGGGCTCCAGCATCCTAAGCTGAACCATTCACCCTGCACAGACATATTCTTCACCCTACAGGGGCTCTGACACATTAGGCTGTCCTCCTACACAGACACTTTTGTCATATTGCTTAGATTCTGCATCTGGAATATCTCTTCTCTCTGTCCTCCTCATTCTGCTTAAGCTCTGAAACCCCTTACCAGGCCTCTCCTGATTCCCCATAGATACCTTCCTCATCCCCCTAGACTTCTGAACACCCTGCTCTGAGCCCTCCTCACCATTCTTTGACTCTGTCCTGACTCCACAGTTCTTAAAGCTCTGTTGAAGAAATACTCTTGTAAGATCTCTGAAAGTTATAAATAAGGCCATAAATGTTTCACTCAATGGTACATGGATCCTCTATGACTTGAGAATTTTGTTCCTTCTAGTGCAAACATAAGTAATTTCTTCAGAAAATAACATAAATAAATTTAAAATGAAGATAATCACAATAAGATGACTAGTATATATAGTCCATTCTTTCTAAGAAGTTATTTAGAAAATAACTAAGAAGTTATTAAGAAAATAATTATGAAGTATTTAAGTGAAAAGTAATACCTAGTAGAAAAATATATGGAGAGATATATGTGTGTATGTGTGTGTGTGTGTGTGTGTGTGTGTGTGTGTGTGTGTGTTTGTTTTCTTTTTTGAGTCAGGGTCTCACTCTGTCACCTAGTCTGGAGTACAGTGGTGCACTCATAGCTCACTGCAACCCCAAACTCTTGGGTTCAAGCAATCCTCCTGCCTCAACCGCCCGAATAGCTGAGTCTACAGGTGCATACCACCATGCCTGGCTAATTTTTTCACATTTTGTAGAGGTGACGTCTCACTAAGTTGCCCAGGCTTCTCGAACTTCCAAATTGGTAGGATTACAGGCATGAGCCACTGTGCTCAGCCTATGGTATGCTATATTAAAATGTCTGTGGAACTCAAGTTAGTTTTCTTATTCCCTAAACTGTTTATTACTTAAAATTACCTTAGAACACTAGATTGTTTTAGGAAAACAATAATAAAATACAATCTGGAGGAAATGATATGAATATAAGTAAATATGGGATAGCAGACTAGTAAATTGGCTTAAACTTAGAAATTGAGAGAAAAATTTTAAAACAGAGCATCACCTACCAGTTATTCTTGGACTCCATAATCTTGTAGAAACCAAATATCCAGTGGACCCGCAGCCAGTACATTTTTCCAGTGGAGATGCCAAGTATGATGACTGTCAAGCCTGAAGTGTTTTTAACAAAATGAATGCTGTCTCTCTTTAATGCAGAACTATGTTGGCACACTGGATATGCGAGGTACTTTGTTTTAGAGTGTCTGACTTAAAACCATAGCTTTGGATTTACCAGCTTATTGAAATAGTTAATGGAGAGATGCAAAAGTAAGGCAATTAGTTCCCAATTTTTGGAATTTTCTTTTAACTCTTTCAGATGCCTAGAGTAGCTTCACATTAAAAATTTTTTTAACAAAAGGTAAAGTCTAATATTTAAAACAAGATAAAAATGTTTGCAAATGGATTTTTCAGCATTATAGTGTTTGCATCTGATTATTAGGAAGCATTAATTATTTGAGTAACTAATATCTGTTCTGAACATTAGTTTACTTTTTGTTACATGTTTAAAGCATTCCCAACACAAAGTAACATTGTTTTTACCACAAATATTTCCATCTAACTTGCTTGCTTGACAGTTGAACAGAAACTTGTTATTTAACATCTTTCCCCCTTTTTATTATTCATTTCTGCATAGATGTAAGTCAGTAGTATTACCTGTATACAACTTTATTATCTATTAATAAAAGTAAATAAGATAGTCTTGAGAAAAGTCATAAAGTAGATAGGCTCTGTAACAATTTTGGTCTTTACCATCTGACCTCAAAGCAATTGAGCACCAAATGCCAGCTCTCAGGTTAAAAAGGGTGAAGTAGGGATGAAAATTACAAAAAGGAATAATAGCTTACAGAGTCCTTTTTAACAGAGCATCTTATTTAAGGCTTATAGCAACTCTGTGAGGCTATACACTATCCATATATAGCCCTCATTTTATCGTATTCATTTGATTATATATTTTAGTATTAATAAAAAGAATACCCATGAACCTGCTGTACAGCTCAACTTCTTTTTTTATATATATTTTAATTTTTTTTCTTTTACTACTTTATTTTTTTTAGATATTTTGGAGGTGAAAGCTCAACTTCTTTTTCTCTGTTTTTTTTTTTTGCCCTCTGTCACCCTGGCTAGAGTACTTGGCTCACAGTAACCTCAAAGCTCCTGAGCTCAAAGGATCCTTCTGCCTCAGCCTCCCAAGTAGCTGGGACTATAGGTGCTCCCCACCATGCTTGGTTAATTTTTTCTATTTTTAGTAGAAATGGGTTCTCACTCTTGTTCAGGCTGTTCTTGAACTCCTGACATTAAGTGATCCTCCTGCATCAGCCTCCCAGAGTGCTGGGATTACAAGCATGAGCCACCACGCCCGGTGTAGTCCAACTTACTTCTGCTCCTCCTTTGTCCTATTTCCTCATCTCCCATCAAAGGAAACCACTGTCCTAAACTTTATATTTATCATTTTCTTTTGTTTTATCACACATTTTTATTTTTTATTATAATACAAGTCTTAAATTCTTTATTGGTGAACCCTACCTCATAGGATTGTTTTGAAATTAAATGAGAAAAAAATATGTAAGAAGTTTTACACAGTACCTGGCTCCCCAGAATGCTCAATGAATGCTAGTTGTAATTGTGTTATTAATGTTGTTATTTTGCTGAGAGAGAGCAAGAAAAACATATCTTTTCTCAGCTGTTTTCTCTCTGCTCTCTTCTGGGGGAAAGTGAGGAAGTATGGGTTTTGAGATCTTTTCATGTCTTCCCGGAACCAGCAATAACAGAATGAAGGAGGAGAGTCTGGGATTTGGGAGATCAGTAGTTAGGGCACAGAGTGCCCAACTGAGAAGAATAAAAAATAAGTTGTACTATTAAGTTACCGATTTTTTTCTTCTCTCTCACTGTCCTTCATCTCAGGATAGAATTTCTGTCTCCTCTGAGCTTGATGCATTATAGTGAAATTCTTCCACCTTCTTATAGACAGTGTTGAAGAATAAAGGGTTGAATTAACCCCAAAATAATCAGTGACATAAATAGATCAATCAGAGTTTCCAGAATGACCAAGCGAACAAACCAGCCAGTCAGCTGATTTTTACATTGTTTGCCATTCTACCCAACTTTGGGAAGCATTATTTTCTTTTCAGTCTGAAAATCATGATTTCATTCCGTCATTTCCTCCTTCCAGTTGCCGTAGGTTTTGAGCAATTGTACCAACATAAGACTAATTCTTGATTTTCTGAGCCTGCTTCTCTTTTTGCCTAACTTCTTTTCTCACACATTTATATTAACAACTTGCATTAATAGTTATTATATCACACACTCTAATTCTATTGCATGGGTACTTAAGCAGTATGCTTATATTGGGATTTTGGTCAACTAAAATTCATAATGAAGCATATGTGAATTGATTACACATATTGCACAAATTATTAGCATTAATAGAAAAAATATATGAGAAACAATCACCCTCATCTTGGCACACTGAGGAAAGAATTCCTCAGAAAACAAAAGTAAAATCACATCTACATTAAATTAAAAAAAAAAAGCAAAGAGAGTGAGCCCATGTAAGAGCAGTTTTTACCAGCTGTTACATTAATCTTTATTAAATTTCACCTTATTCCTTTTGGCAGATATTCTAGTCTTTCGTTATTTGTTATGCATTATGACACAGTATACCCCTCTTAAGCCCATTATTTGCAAATTCAATATCTTTGTTCAAATTATTGGTATAATAACCATCTTCCTCCAGGTTGAACCTATACATTTTTGGGAGCTGTTGCTTAGAAATCATCTATTTTATAAAGTTATATTTCCTCATCTTGGTCACAAAAACATTTAACGATTTTTACCACATATTTTATTAAATCTAGGGTAATTATGCCTGCAGCATTTTCCTGATCCTCCAGTACAAGAGCTTTAACAAATTAGTTTGCAGCTTGGCCTTCTTCATAATTTTGCTTTTCATATAGAAGCTATTTGAAGAGATATTTTTGTCCGTGTAGTTTATCAGGAACATTGTTAGATACCCTGCTTGCTCTTTTGTAAATCTCACTCATGTTTGTTCTATTTCTCTTCTCTCTCCCTTTTCTAAAAAACACTTTTATTGACATATAATTTACATACCATAAAGTTCACCCACTTAAATGACACGATTCAGTGGTTATTAGTATATACAGAGTTCTGTAACCACAACTGTTAACTAATTTCAGAACATTTTTATCATTCCCCAAAGAAATCTTATACCTATTCTCTCTTCCTCTCCTTAATCTAAAAGTAATTTTGCTTTTGTTTTTAATGAAGTCTTTCCTCAGAAGCACCTTTTACATTGTGGATTTCCTATTCTCTTTCTTCATATTCTGTGTTTGTAAACTTAGAGTTTTCACTCCGCCCTTCTATCTGAACTGATTTAAAAGACAGCAAAAGAAACATAGATATTGTGGCATACATGAAATATCTGGCACTTATTTAGGACTGTCTAGCATTTTCATAGATTTAAAGTACCTGTGCTCTTATTCAGGAGCTCCTTCCTTGGCTAATAGAGACTGTAAAAGCATTTAATTTAGATGGAATTTAGGACCAAATAACAATAGCATTAATAAGCATAATTTATATTCCCTTTAATCTTTAGGTATCTGATGGGAAGCAGATTTAAGAGAAAGGCTAGTGTATGAGATCAAGTTGTACAGTTATAGCTTGGAGGGAATATCTTTAAACTATTGGGGTAAAAGAAGAGTTTAAATGAAGATTTAAGTCTTAGGTTATTTAAAATTGCAAAACCAACCCAGTTCTGTCTGAAATAAAAGCCTGTGCTGGTATCAGCTGTATTAACTGCCACTTCCTTTGGATAGGTAAGATAAAACTTCTGGCAGGACTTTTTAAGTTTCCTGACACTTGAGTCATTTAATCAGAATACACCTTTGATGAGAAAATCCATGCTCCCTATACCTTCCACTTGACCTTGTATTTTACTTGTGTTTTTGGGGGCAGAATTTGGAGAGGGCTAGAATGTAACACGTTCTGTTTTTAGTTACTTTCCAATGTACTGTTTAGTAATAGTGCTTTTATACCTCTAATAGAGACTCAACTTTTTACCCTTCTTTGGGAAAGGTAGAGTGTTTCAGTCTACAGATTTTGTTTTGATTTGATTCATTGATTTTAATAATTGGAGAAGTAAAGAAACAGTACTAACTGGCGAAGTGCTTTTAGTGACTGGTTTATTACTAGTAAAAGTTTTTTTCCGTGATATAAATCGTAAATGTATTTTGGTAGATCCCTTTATCTTAGCTATGTTTTATTTTCAAATTTCCTTTTTTGTTTGGACAGAAATCTTTTATATCTAAGGAACTCTTGTTTTCAACATGGGTTGAGAAAGACAATTGTATTAAAAATGAATATTTGGTGATAATGGTATTTCTGTTTTAATTAGGTTCTACCTATCTCCATTCCCCCATATTGTTCAGAAGATGGAAGTACTTTTCTTAAGACTTTTGGCAACATTTTAACAAGCTGAAAATTTTCAGTCAGAGTATATCATATTCAGACAGATGCCAAATTTGCCAGATGCTCTGAGGATGAACATTTCAAGTGTTAGGTAATAGGGTTTTTCAAAAGAAACTTTTAAGTTTATTATTTACTGTGAATGAAGATCATTTAAGAGTACAACTTCTAATTTTAGCTTTCTTTTATGACATTCCTTAGCCCTATCCACATCAAAGTTAGGATACATACTTTAGTGATTAACTAGGAGGATCAAAGTATTTTTGAATTCAGTAAGCAGTTAATTAAAAGTATTGTCTGTTACCAAGGATAAAATGTCTTATAGTGATACCTTTGTTTTTTAAATCACTCGTGCAGGTAATTAATAATCTTCTTTAATTGTTGGAATATTAGATTTTTTGGAATATTAGGCAAGTCCCTTATACTTTGTGCTTCAATTCTTTTGAAAATAGACATATGCTTTTAATTGTTTTTTTGAAGTTCCTTCCAAGGAACCAAGGAAGTTCCTTCCTTGGTTCTGCTACCTTTAGAGGATGTTTTGAGAATTACTTCTGTTCAAAAACTATATAATTTAATAACTATAAATGATTTTTAAAGTAGTACATATAAGTCCAATTTTATAGACAATTAAAATATTATAAAATACTTTTAAAAAGATGTGGATTCTTTAATCTGGCATACAGAAGTAATGGTAACCTAAAATAGGCATTTATGCTTTCTGATTTAAGAGTATCCTAAACTTGTGCTTTTTCATGGTTGGAGATGCCTCAGAGAGTATTTTCTTGGGCCATGACATTCCTTTTTTAGTTTCTTTAGGAGGGAAAAATGAATTATCATAGTATTGAATTAAATATTTGCTAAAGGATGTTGGGTAAAAGAGCAGGACTAATGGACTAATTGGAGAAGCCAGTTTAAAGCTGATATACACTAGTATATTGTTATCTGATATATAAAGGATGGTAAGTTATGCTTGTACTATTGCACAGGAAGATATTGGACCATCTTAGGTTATTTGACACTTTTTCCATTTTATCTAGCTTTATCCAGCTTGAAATTTTAATGAATTTTTCTAGAGACTGTTTTTTTTTGTTTTTGTTTTTGTTTTTTGAGACAGAGTCTCCCTTTGTTGGCTGGGCTAGAGTGCTGTGGCATCAGCCTAGCTCACAGCAACCTGAAATTCCTGGGCTCAAGTGATCCTCCTGCCTCAGCCTCCCGAGTAGCTGGTACTACAGACATGTACCACCATGCCCGGTTAATTATTTTTTTGTTGTTGTATATATTTTTAGTTGTCTAGCTAATTTCTTTCTATTTTTGTTAGTAGAGATGGACTCTCGTTCTTGCTCAGGCTGGTCTTGAACTCCTGAGCTCAAGCAATCCTCGCGCCTCAGCCTCCCAGAGTTGCTAGGATTATAGGCGTGAGCCACTGTGCACAGCCTCTAGAGATTATCTTGAATATAAGGAATAAAGCCAGAAAGAAAACAGGGAACAGAACTAATGGAAAATTCATTCTTCAGTTCAATAAAATTATATAATAAAAGAAAAAAAATATTTGCTAATACCTCTTTATGACATTAATTATATAGGACTAATTTTTGTGAATAATACAGTTTTCCTCATAAGAATACATACTCATTTTGTGCATGTATAATGAAGTTGTTGACTTTTCTCTTTAAAATTTTTTTTCCTCTCCTTCCCCCCCCACAGAATCTGTCTATGATCTTCTCCCAAAGGAGTTACAGTTACCTCCATCTAGAGAAACATCTGTAGCATCAATGAGTCAGACAAGTGGTGGTGAGGCAGGCTCGCCTCCTCCAGCTGTAGTTGCTGCTGGTATGCATTTCATTTTACTTTTATTAAAGAAAACTAAGGAACAACTTGAAATCTGGCCAACATGAACAGTGCTGGCAACATTCATATTAAAAAGAGTGTGATTTGAGGGTTTTTAAAAGAGGTTTTAAACTATATACTTTTAGCCTCAAATTTTTTCAATATAATTTTCTTGATACTATTTCTTAAAATTTCACATTGGCACATCTATAAGTGCTATCTCCTAAAATGGGCCTTGTTTTTAAATATGGGAATCAGTTTTAAGTTTTTTATTGACTGCACATAAAAAAGTTAAATACCAAACTGTGAATAGAAAATTATATTTGAGTCTGTATTTGACAATTATTTTTATAGACTTGTTCAAAGGAAAAAGTATTTTATATGATCTGAAAAGGGACTAAAGCTCTCAGGTTTCTTTTACATTTGTAGCATGTTACTGTAAACTTTTTCCTACATTTAAAAATATATGTGACTTTCATACTTATCTTAAATTCATTGAAAGTAATGGATAATTTGTATATAATATTTATATAAAGATATTTTATTATATCATTGAAAAAGTACAGACAGTGATGTTTGAAATTTATCAAATTTATTTTTACTAAGCTCTCAAATCATACACTTTATTGGTTGAAATTTTTCTTTTGAGTTAGAATAAAAGATTGACAGAAAAACTAGTAGAAAAAAGTCTTGATTGGTGATAAATTAGTATGAATGCTTTCTGAAATATTTGTTTGCCCAACTGTAATTCTTCTTTTAGTTGGGTTTATTGACTGCTAAGTGTGTTTGCACTTATTTTTTTTCCTGAAGTTTATCTGTTCTTATAATTAGAGGTTTCTTGCCCATTACAATACCTCTTGTCTTTTAAAATGGAATTTAAAGTTCATCAGAGCATTGTTTTCAGAAAATTTTTAGTTTCAAAAAGACAATGGTGAAGTGAAAGATTATGAGTTAAATGAGAATATTGGTACTATAGTATAACTTCAGATATTTTTCTCACATGCATTAGCTTATGTACCATTAGCCTTGTATACCATTCTTTCCTGAGCCATATAGTGCATAATGAAGCATTCCTGGTTGAAGGCAGGAAAACTTTAAATATGGCAAAGAAACTTACCAGCTCTGCTCACTGTTCATGTGTTGCCAGATATTTTCTAACAGTTTCTGTGGATTTAATTGTGAATTAGTGAATTTTTAATAATCAAATTGATAGAATGACCTGATTTACTCTATATCCAACAGGGGTTCTAAAATGGCTCTGATTATTTTTTCTGGAATTTTAAGTTTAATATCTAGTTTAAAAATTGTATCAGATAATAAAATATGAGAAAGATAAAATAATTTTATGAAATATTTCACTTTAAATCCACAGGTAGAAATTGACTAACTGATTTCTTTTATATCTTTTGAGATTGTTTTTTAAAGACATGTTGAATTTGTATAGAACTAAAAGTCTGTTTCTTCTGTGCTTTTTGACATCTGTTGACAGTGAATCCAGTTCCTTTTAAAAGCTGAAAAAATGTTAGCTAGGTTTAAAAAAAGAACAAGTCTTCTTATTAAGCCATACCAAACTCAATTTTAGAAAATCTTTTTTTTTCCTTTTTCTTTTTTTCACCTTTTAGTCCAACTTAAGCCTTGTAAGAAAATCTTATATATAAATATTAAAAGTTCTTGAATTTGAGTCACTGCATCTCCCCACCCCCACCATATATATGACAAAATCCTCTCCAGATACATTAAATTGAAAACTATGAGTTGAAAACTGATGAAAATAAGAGATTTAATCAAAAGAAGTATTCTGAAGTAATACATTCTTACTGTCTTAAAATAAATGACATTGTAAAGATGGTGAAGAGAATAAGGAGGTAATCATGTTAGTTTTATTATAGTCACACACAGAAGGTTTCTATGATCTAAAACCAAGTTATTTATAATTTTTTTTATATCAGTTTACTTTTAGTAAGCAACATAGTTTATTCTAGGATTCTAATGTCTTTCTGGAAGAAAGAGTCCTTTATACTTTATGCCTTACCATTATAGATAAGAGAGTTTAAATTACATAATTGTTATAGGGAAATCAGTTACTATATATCATTACAGTAACATTTCATAACATTTTTATTTGATATAGTAATATCCTTGGCGATATAATTGTCAAAGAGAGAGATTTGAAGTGTATTACCAAGTTACTCAATATTTTTCTAGCCAAAAGACTAGATGTCTAGGAAAGGCACATTAATTTAGACTTGTATGAGTTTTTAAAAAATCTATAGCATTTAAAAAATATATGAAATGTATAAAATGATGACTATTGATATAGTTAATTCTTCAGAGTATTGAAGGAGCTGGATTGGCTGCTATCAGGTATGAGGGCCTGGTGGAAACAGACTTCTAGTTCTGCCATAAAGGTTTGTGTTTCATGAATTTTAAATCAATTTAAATTTTATAATATAAAGGCTGGGTATATGGGTATTCATAGACATTGTTTGTTATTTAAGTATTTAAAATGTGTTTCTCAGATTCACCAATCTAGATTTTTGTTTTCTCCTCATATATTATTGAAGGAATAAGTTGATATGGTGCCGCTAATCCACAATCCAGAATGTTGGGTAAAAGAGTGTCTCTCAACAATTTTTTCTGCTTCTACGCTATTCACACTTTTACGCACTCCATCAAATAACAGCCCTTTATCCTGTGAATCCTAGGGTGGGGTCAGAGAAGAGGGGCTTACTTAAAATTCCTCTCCCTTTCATGGAGCCGCATGTCAGAATCTGGGAGGTGAAGTTAAGAGTCACCACCTATTTGTTCTCCCCATTTTTAAGACTTTTGGGTTTTTACCTTTTCAATTTTTTAATTGTTTTTATTTTTTAGAGGCAGAGCCTCATTTTGTCACCCAGGCTGGAGTGCAGTGATGTAATCAGTCCTCAAATTCCTGAGCTCACACAATCCTGCTTCAGCTTCTGGATAACTGGGACTACAGATGTGCACCATCATACTCGGCTAAGTTTTTTATTTTTTGTAGAGATGAGGTCTTGCTATATTGCCAGGTTGGTCTTAAACTTCTGGCCTCAAGTGATCCTCCCACCTTGGCCTCCCAATGTGCTGGGGTTACGAGGGTGAGCCATTGCACCTGGCCAAGGATTCTGTTTTGTCCCAGTGGAAAGATAGTTAAGAGTTTGAAGTTCAGTATATAAATAAATAAAAGCTTTAGATATATACTTTCCAAAGAGTATTTTAGGTTCTCAGTAGTTAAGACAGAGGCCATGTTCCTAAAACAAAAAAAATTATTTAAATGAATTAATGGTATATTTTGGGAAAATAAGGAGTTGATCAAGAAAAAATGTGTATCATGAAAGGATTCTTTTGTTTGTTTTTTTGAGAATCCTATAGGTTATAGGTTATAAAGAGCTAAAATGTAGGTATTATTTAGAAGAACTAAATAAAACAAACAGTTATACCAGAATTTGGGGCTTTTAAAAAGAGATATAAGGCCAGGTGCAGTGGCTCACACCTGTAATCCTAGCATTCTGTGAGAGTGAGGTGGGAGGATCCCTTGAGCTCAGGAGTTTGAGACCAGCCTGAGCAAGAGGGAGACCCCGTCTCTACTGAAAAATAGGAAAAAAAATTACCTGGGTAACTAAAAAATAGAAAAAATTAGCTGGCCATGGTGGCATGCATCTGTAGTCCCAGCTACTCAGGAGGCTGAGGCAAGAGAATCACTTGAGCCCAGGAGTTTGAGGTTGCTGTAAGCTAGGCTGATGCCATAGCACCCTAGCCTGGGCAACAGAGCAAGACTCTGTCTCAAAAATAAATTAATAAATAAAAATAAAATAAAAAGAGATAAAAAAAAGTTTCTTATTTTTTTAATAACAGCTTTATTGAGACATAATTCACATGCTGTTCAGTTATATGTTTATAGTTCTTATTCTTAGATTTACTGTTTATTTAAAATGGAAACCTTTCATGGGAAGTAAACAGTAAATTTTAGTCTTTAAGAAATCAGATTATGGCCGGGCATGGTGGGCATGGTGGTATATGCCTGTAGTCCCAGCTACTCGGGAGGCTGAGGCAGAAGGATCACTTGAGCCCAGGAGTTTGAGGTTGCTGTGAACTGGGCTGACGCCACTGCACTCTAGCCCAGGCAACAGAGTGAGACTCTGTCTCAAAAAAACAAAAAAAGAAAAAAGAAAGAAATCAGATTATTTTCTTGTTGTATCCTTTGCTTGTCTTCATTTGGGGATATGACATGTTTATCATTTATATCAAAATGTGATATTTTGCTAAGGGGACTACTTCAAGTTTCTTTGAAATTTTTTATTCTAATTCTGAGCTAAACATTAAATTAATCAAACTTTGGGTTTTATAATCAGCCAGAGAATCTTAATAACTAGTTAATAATTCTTTTTTGTTTATTTTCATAAAATTTATTTTTTACTTTTAATAATTATATATTAATATTCTTTTCAGAAGTAATATAGTCTCAGTAACACTAATACTTTTTAGTAGGTTTAACATGTAAGGATAATGTATGGTCATAAAGCACGCACAATAGAAATCTCTGTTGAATATCTCCACTTATTAGATCACTGTAGGTTTTCAGGGCTGTAATTTAAGTTCATAACTTTACATTAAGTGATCCATGCAGTAAACTTTTCTTTGGGAAGGGCATTACTAAAAGTGCTTTGAATTTTATGCCATGGCAATTAATAAATCTCAAGTGTGTAACAGATATTTTCTACACAGTTGAAAGAACTTAATTGAGTGCTATTTACACTATAGCAGAGGACACTAGAGAACTAAATTAATGACCTATAATCAAAGAACTGCTATGTTTTAATTCATTTCAGGTCTCTTAATTATCTAAATTAAAATCATAGGAGTCCAAGTGTGGTGGCTTATGCCTGTGATTCCAGCACTTTGGGAGGCTGAGGCAGGAGGATTGGTTGAGGCCAGGAGTTCAAGACCAGCCTGGGCGACACAGCAAGATCCCATCTCTACAAAAA